CAGCCAGGCCGAGGAGGCTGCTCTTGCCAATCCACGGCCTGCCTCCTGACTGCCTGAAGGGCCAGCCAGGCCGAGGAGGCTGCTCTTGCCAATGCCGAAGTGTGCCAGGGGCTGGTGCTGCAGCATCTGCTGAGGCTGGCGTGGATACAGGCTAAGAATAGCCTGTTCCCGAAACCCTGGTTTGGTGCCTGAGTTTCAGGGCCGGTCGTTCTGGTGAACGACCGAAAATAGCCCTTTGTTTCAGGCTAAAAAGGCTCTTGCCATTTTTAGTTTGAAAYGACACAGGGACTGTAGGCCCCTGTTTTCAGGCTGAATTCTAGGCTTTTTGGCTGAAGGGCTCAGGGCCTGGAAAATGGCCTGCGTGTGCAGGCGCAGCATGTAACACCCCCCCCTCCTTATGAAGTCAAGCCGGGGCGAGGGCGAAGCCGACGATCTGAAGGTGGAACCTGGACGCGGGCGCGGCGTGGAACCGAAGAAACCGGCTTGCCTTGCATCTTGCGTTCATAGCGTGCGAGAACGTCTGGAGCTGTTGCTTGAAGTTCCGCACGGGTTAACCAGCGGTCGGCTCGGTGTGTGCAGTATGCAAAGTGCACCAAATACTCAGTTGGCTTGTTGCCGTAGCGTCGCTGGGAGATGATGTAGCTGACCTCCTGAAAACCGTCCATAGAAGGTGGGTCTTGCGTACGTCTCCTGGGAAAATCGTCATGTTCCGTTGGCGTGTAAAGAGCCAACTTGGAGCAATGAAAGACTGGGTAGACCGGCAAGTGGCCAGGCAGCTGAATCGTGAAGGAAGGTCCCTCGTGTGCGTCCCCAGCGGGCGTTACGATCGGCCAAGGCCCCATCCATTTCGGGAGGAGCTTGCGAGAGATGTCTTGTTCAAGGCTGAATTCCGCTGCGGAAACCCAAACAAGGTCGCCTGCGCAGAATGGGCAAGGAAGACGCTGGCGATTGGCCTGTTGGCTCATGCGCTGCTGCGTCTTAGCCATCTGATCGCGTGCCTTGACAAGAAGCTCTTGCATTCGACGCAAGAAAAGAAGATGGTCGTCTCTCTCGACCGTTCGTGGAGTAATAGTGTCCAACGGTGAAGTGACCGGCGAGCCGTGCTCAAACTCAAAGGGCGACATCCTGATAGCCGGGTGGATAGATGAGTTGTAGGCCAACTCGACATCGAGCAGCCGCTCAACCCAGTCCTTCTGGTCGGGGCGGATGAGAGTGCGAAGGAGAACCTGTGTGGTCTGATGCGCCCTCTCCGTCTGGCCATCGGTTTGAGGGTGGCGAGTTGAACTGGGCTTGAGAGATGAGCCCCATCGCTTGATGAGTGCCAACCAAAAATCGGACATGAACCGAGTGTCGCAGTCGCAGACGATTTCCTTGGGGTAACCCTTGGTCCGAATCCAACCGGCGTAGAGAACCTCGGCCAACTCCGGTGCCTTGGCATGATAGCGACAAGGCAGAAACATGGCGAACTTGGTGAGTAGGTCGACCACCGTGAGAATCCCATCCACTCCGGTCTTGTGCTTGGGGAACGGGCCGGTAATGTCCATGGCAATCGCTTCCCTTCGCCGCAACGGGACTGGGGTCGCAACTCGCTGTATGCGTATGGACGATGGTTGCGGGATTTGCAGCGTCGGCAAACCTCGCATGACTCGCAATAGCGCGTGACGTTGTGGGGAAACCCGGGGAGGGGCGCCTGCCGTTCGTCAAAGCCATGGGCCACGGCGCCTGTCACTTCGCCGCGCCCGCTTCCGAGGTCCTCAACGATCGGCAGGGGATTAATGTTGAGGGGCGCAGTATCATGCACCCTGTTTCTGCGGGTTCACACGGAAGTAGAATTCATCAGTCAACCGGTAATTTCACAAGTTTAACAGACTGCTCGTAATTCAGCACAGTTACAG